GTGACCAAAAAGTCAAAAAATGAAAGTGTGAAATTTCAAATGAACATGGCAAATCACAACTAAACATGCATGCTCTCTACAGGGTAAACCCACCAGGCTTGGACATGACATGGCAAGAACCCACAATTAATGAAAATGCAACAATGAAAATGCAAAATTACTATGTGTACACTGTAGATTTTTCAAAAAACAAATCATATGCAAATACAACATATTTCAACTGAAACATATAACTTTTTCAATTCAAAAAACATTCAAACATGTTGCGGTGAGACTTGGTGACCAAAAAGTCACCGACACCACATTTTTCAGTCCTTAGAGAGCTTTACCAGCTAACCCTTAAGCTAAATGGTTAGCAAATCAGCTAACCACTTAGTAACCTAGGGTTTGTTGAAGTGGCTAACCTCTAACAAACAAGCTAAGAGGTTAGATAAACGATATAAAGTTTATAGAGGTTAGCCTCAAACCTAGAAGTGGTTAGAGAGGTTATAAACCATTACTAGAAGTTATAACCTACTTACTAGAGCTTATAACTAGCTTATTGGAACTTATCTAACCATTTATAACTCTTCTAACCAATAAGATCTTCGCGGGACATCCCAGTAAACCATACTGTTCTCGCTGACCTTTTCACCTTGCGGTTCTCCACCTGCCTTCCACCTGGGAACTGAACTAACTGAAAACCAATGTCAGAGTGTAACCCTTGGAATCACAGGGATCCTTCTGGACTGTTTGATTTGTTTTTTTATCTCACTATAGCAGGGGGCAACCTCGTGATCAACTCCACGTACCTGCTTCTTTTTGAACTGTTGACCAAGCCATGACCCTACTCTTCCTTGAAGGGCTAGTGCGCTCTGCAGACAAGAGCGGCAGCCGTTTTTTTCGACCTGTGCTTCGTACCGATTGTAATTTGGAACCTAGAGCTTTGGAGACTTGAGAATTTGGACTTGCGGAGTTCTGAGCCCTGTTTCCTTAGGTTTTTCACTCAGGCCGGCGTGTGGCAAACCGCAACCCAATCAGTACGCATTTCTATAAGTGTGTCTCTCCTCGTCAGAGCCCAGGGTGACCCCGAAGAGTGGCCCCTGTCGACCCGTTGAACGGGGTGTTTCTACACTGCGAGGCGGAACCGCGCTGGAAACCAAGGCAGAAACTGCAGTCAAACTGTAGAGACGAAAAGGGCATGTATAAGCAGGATGAACCAGGTGCGAATTCAATTGCACTCCTGTAAGTTTCAATCGTTCCCGCAATTCGAACTGTTCCGCCTGAAACATTTGGGCGTCACTTTTGGCCTCCTTCCTTTCCACAAGACCCCCAGGACGTTTAGAACCCCGTACACGCTGTCTCAGGGGTATACTGGTATACCTAGGTTGGCGAGTGGCAAACCGCAATCGAGTCAGTACGCAATGTGTTGAGTGTGTGCGCGTGTGTGTGTGTGTGCGCGCTTTACCCGAAAGAGCTCTTATCTCAATGTCAAATGTGTCTCGCCGTGGGAGAGCCCGGAGTCTGTTGAGAAGGGGCTTGCCTTTTTCTCCCTGTCGCGAAAGAAGGTGTCCGAAGCGGACGCAGGAGCGCATCGACCGTACGTTCGATCGGGATCGTTGGATCTCGGCTCGGTCCGGGCCAACTATGCGCGCTGCCCGCGCAAACTCAACTAGGCAAGGTGCCACGACTTGGGCAATGAGGTTTGGGTGCTTTTCGCTTGGTTTGTCCCCTTTCATATGGTTTCCCCTTTTCACTACACACCTTTCCTCCTTTTCTTCCGTGTTTATTCGATCATGCAGGTCTTGTCATTTCATCTCCTTTTTTCTGTTGCGCGCTTGCTTGCTCCGACCTTAGCGTGTACGTGCGCATATTTGGTTTTTACTTCATTTCAACTGGATGCACTTTGGGCCCTTTCGTGTCCTTGCTTTTTCCGGGCAAGGAGGTGGCCGTGTCGCCCCCTCGAAACGGCGTGTCCCAGGGAACCTTTTGGGATCTCACGCCGGGCCTTAATTATGTGCGCGTGCGCAAACTGATTTGGGCAAGGTTCCCAGCCCCCTGGTTTCCAGTGGCCTGTCGAAGAGTTGGATTACTGCTCAAGTTTGCTTTAGCCTGCGAGATTTGGAGATGTTCACTTTTTGTTGTGCAGTGACAGGCGACCGTGGCAAGGCGACCGTGGCAATACTGAAGTTGTGCCTTGCGTGTTGACAACCACATACCCCAAAAACAAATTTTTGATGGAGCTTGCGACTTGGATTCTTGGACGCAGCTTCAACTTTGAGCCGTGTTGCTTGCCACGTTGATATTTAATGTTGCACCAACCGTATGCTCGACAAACCGCCCCAACTTGGAGAGAACTAGCAAGTTGCAAGTTAGTGTTTGCGTGTTGCCATCCGCTGCATTAATTGTACAGTTGTCAGTTTTTTTCCCCTCGAAAAGTTTGACACTGTTTGCCAAAACGCGAATATATGATAACATATGTATATACATATATCAATCTATATATATATACAACAGACGGTAACAGTGCCCATAACTTTTTAGATTTTTGCAGATTCCGCATAGAGCTTTGCTGCTCTGATCCTAATTTATTTTTGCAACAAACACATCATTTTCTTGGCAAGGCTTCAAGCTTAGGCAATGCGTAAGTAGTTTGCCTCTTTTTGTTGTGTTTAGACAGCTACACTGTCACACCAGCCTGACACTACCATAGCATTTAGGTTCGAGATGCAGCTTGTTCAGAATGTTTGAGTTGGCCATCCTGTATGGCTACACATCAGGCAGTTTTGCATGTTTGCTGGCCTCCTTTGGCGTAGCTGCAGCTACCATTCAGTCTTGATCAGGCAATGTATCGGTTCTTTTTAGTCAGCGCCACGCTACCGCTCGGAAATTCGTCCAGAACCTAGAGCATTTTGCCGCCGCGTCAAATTGGGCAGCTGTCCCGCCATTTCGATCAAAGTTGTTTTGTTGGATAAGTTGCGACGAATCATTGCCTCCCAGTGAAAGAAAACATATTGGTGGCCACGGAATGTCCAGATCAACACTTCACCGAGGTTGAGCAGAGAATTAGAGAGTCCTTCTGATTTTGGCAGCTGGGAAATGATTTCGCTCGTGTGAATGGATGTGTTTCATTGTCCAATATGGTTGAAATGCAGGGCCGCGCAGTGCCCCTTGATTGATTCTATGTTGACTAAGAATTCCAAAGAGAATGCGCTGGATATGACGAGGAATGGGCGGGGTGCTTAGACTTGCATAGCGCCTTCGGTGCGTTTTGTTTTCCTGGTGGATCCATGTGGATCCCTCAATCTTCCTGATGTCCCACAAAGTATACCCGTGAGGCTCGATGCCCCGATCTCGGTGACTGTGCTGGATCATGCGTGCCTCGAGATTGCCAGTTTTCTCCATGGCAGGAGGGTTTGATGACTGCGAACCATGGCAAACCAAAGGAAGCATTGGTAGCTGTCTCGGCTACATACAGAACTGCGTAGGCATTGTATCGGCATATGAGCTAGGCTCAAAACTAGTGAACGCGACGAATTGTCAGTGAGTGGTCATGGGAGTTCAATATGCATGCTTTGCCCAAACAACGATAACACACTCGCCAAGCAACTCCACAACCAATTTTGAGCGTCGCTCATATGTGTACATCGCATATCGTCAAGGCTCAGGAAATTATCGTGGTAACAGTTGTGTACACCACCGCATCGATGTTCATATTGCCACAAAGCTGGGTGGGCGTCGCTCGAAGTAAAGTAGTTTTGATTTTCAATTTCCCTCAACGTCGGGGCCGATTCTTGCAGTGGGAGGTCTTCTCAAAGAAAACGAGTTGCCGTTGTATCCTTGCTGCGTGTCCATGCGTGATGCTTTCGAGTGCTTCCTTGTCGAATATCATTTGTTCTCAATAGCTAATCTTATCTCAACACTTCGTACCACCTTTGCTTCTTTCCTTTCACGGCCCAATATCCAGCAACAGAAAGGCAATATAAGGCAACTCGGGGAGCTGGGAGTAAAAGGGGTGGAGGATCCCGAGAACCCAAAAGCAAAACGGGCACAGAAAGAAGCAGTGTGTCCAAGAGAAGCAGCAAGCAACCAGATACAGAGAACTGCTAAAGTCGTGCCTGTATGTTGGAAATCGTAGCAAATAGCTTGGGGAAAGGGTTTTTCAGAAGTCGTGCCTTTTTTTACTCAACGCATTGTAAATGCAATCCGAAATGGTGGTTTTGAAGCTTTTTTTGATGTATTTTGTTGCGTTTAGCTTGTGTCCAGCTAATGGGGCGGAGTTGTTTTCTTTGAGTTCGACGCTTTTGATTGTTGCGTTTAGTTTGTGTTCTGCATTTTTTGGAATATCTTCGGATAGAGTTGCAAAGACTCTTTTAAGTTGGAATTTGCATGGGCAGTGCTACTGTTTGATGTTTGCTGCTTTGTTTTGAAAACCGAATCAAACCGACAGCTGGCGCATTTTGCGCCTGAATGTTCGGCAAGACTGTATTGACGTGATGGGTGATGAGATTTTGCATGAAGACTGCAGACCCAAGTTGACCAGCAGTTGACCAGCAGTGAAGCGCTTGGCTATCGGCATGGCGTGCAAACCGTGGAAAGCGGTTTGCAAAAGTTGCCAAAAAATAGAATTCAGGAGAGCATCTTGCCCGGTGCCCTCAAGCCCGCCTACAAACTTCCAGGAAAGCTGCTGCGCATGATGCGCCCCAGCCCGGGTGAATCACGTGCATCGTGGTGTGCTGTCTTCTTCGTCACTGCCATCGACGGATGTAGCAATGAATGGTTGCCAGAACAACCCTCAAAAAATTGGGCTAGTCTGAACCGCCAGGTATTCCCACTTGCAGCGCATTTCCACCATCCTCTTGTCACAGTTCCGCAAGGTATTCTGTCGCGCCTGCGCCGAACAACCAAAATCCAAGCCCCAGAGATGCTTTTGGGAAAAGAGCAAAAGCAAAACAAGTAGGGATCAACAAAACGGGTACAAACGAGGATCAAAAAAACCAAACCAAGGGTCAAGGAACAAGAAATAGATAAGCAGTTGCGTAGGAAGCAAACTGAACAAGTAGCAGCAGTAAAAGCAATACTAGTAGCAGTGGTAGTAGTGGTCGTCGTGGTGGTGCCAGTAGCAGCAGCGGTAGTAGTCGTCGTCGTAGCAAGTAGTAGTAATTAGTAGTAGTAGGAGGAGGAGGAGGCGTCGGTGTGAGTAGGGTGGTATTAGTACTGAGAGGGCATAGCAGTTATATATACTTATAAGTATCATAACTAGTTATAAGTCTACTTATATACAAGTAGTATAAGTATGTATAAGTGCTATAAGTATGGTCATAACTATAACCTAACAAAAACCATGTTTCTTGAAAAGCATGGGTTCTTATCAGAGACCAGCATATACCCATATACGAGCTCAAACCGCGCGCAGCGCGAGTGGCACTTTTTTTGGTGGGCGCAGTCAAATGAGTCTTCGCTTTGCTTCCTAATCTTGTCCTTGTCGTATCCCTCCTTCACCCGCACCTCCAGCGGCGTGAAGACGGCTTGGACGGTGGTTGCGCTCTCCTCTTCTCGGCGTGTGGTCATTTGTTCCACCATCTCAGCGCGGACCCGGACCACGGTCCACTTCACACGCCCGCTGGAAGCATGAGCTGCTCTTTGGGAGAGCCCTGCTCTGTCCTCCGAGCAAAATTCCTCGCAAAGCCCACCCATGTTCCGCTGGACAGCCTTCTCCGAAGCGAAGCGCGTGAGGCACCACCACTGCGCCCTCCGTTGCCTGCCAGAGTTCGCCGCGCGCATCCGAAGGCAGCCGTCGCACTTCTGCGTTCTCCACGGTCTCTGGCGTCGCTGGGACGACTTCTGTCGACGTGGCGCACTATAGCGAGAGAGGAGAAACCAGACCGATGTAATTCGAGCCGCGCTCCGGGCAGCGGACAGGATATACCCAAAATGTACTTTCTAGAACCACTGCTAGACAAACGCGAGACAATGCGAGACAACCGCCCCCAGCGACTTTTCTCTCGCGGAGGATTACGGTGTACTACGCGAGACATCCGCGGGACATGGCCCGTGGATCCCGCGCTGGACATCGCGAGACATTCGACGCTGCCGCCGCGAGAGCCTGAAACTTGCGGACTCTGTCGACGCATCATTTGCCAGCATTGAATTTCGCATGGACGCACGGCGATGGGAGTTATACATGGAAGGTGTCTGAAGAACACGCATGGCGCTCTCGACGCGGCATGCTGCATAGGGCCAACAGTAGTCCACACGCGTCCAGCGCAGTCTGCCAACAAGCCGCACTCTGGCCCAGCGTCCTTTGCCGCAGACTTGTGCAAATCTTGGGGGAAAGCCATGGCCTCTATCAAACCATCCCTGCAGCGTCCATCTGCGTCAGGCGCTGCAGAGAACGCAGCTTGGATTTCGGGGACCCACGTCCCAAGCGACTCGCGTCAAGGCATCTGCTCTCTCGGAGAAGGCCTTCCCCGCACTCTGGAGAACATCCCACATGCGACTCGGCAGGAAGTCTGCCAATTGTGTGTAGTGTAGTCTTGTAAGACGGCCCTCTCCGCCGTGTCTCGACTTTTTGAGCCGAAAAAACTTCCGAGCCCGCAAACCTCTGCAAAAACCAAGAGCTTATAGCTAGAACATAAGTATGCTACTAAGTCTTATAAGTCTAAGATGTCTTGAACTTGCCTACTTATAACCATACTTATAGTAAAAGTCCACCCTAAACCATGTTACAAATACCATAGCTTTTGACATACCTATGACACTTTCAAGTACGACAACCCCGGGCTATGACCATACTTTTGATAATTTGATTATGGCTATAACTACTTAGCCCTCTCAGTAGAAGTGGCCAGCGTAGCAGCAGTAGCAGTCGCCGTCGCCGTCGCCGCCGTCGCTTTAGGAGGAGGAGTAGTAGTGGTGGTGGTGGTGGTGGTGGTAGTAGTAACTGTAGCAGTCGCAGTGGCAGTTGCAGCAGCAGCAGCAGCAGGAGGAAAATGAGGAGGAGTAGTAGTAGTAGCAGCAGTGGAAGTGGTAGTGGTGGTGGTGGTAGTAGTAACTGTAGCAGTCGCCGTGGCAGTCGCAGCAGCAGCAGCAGCGGCAGCAGCAGCAGCAGCAGCAGGAGGAGGAGGAGTAGTAGTAGTAGTAGTAGTAGTACTAGTAGTACTAGTAGTACTAGTAGCAGTAGCAGTAGCAGTAGCAGTAACAGTAGCAGCAGCAGCAGCAGCAGCAGCAGCAGCAGCAGTAGTAGTAGTAGTAGTAATAGTAAGTAGGGTGGTATGAGTAGAAGTGGCCAGCGTAGCAGCAGTAGTAGTACCAGTAGTGCTGTAGCAGTTGTATAAGGTTTTGTTGGGCTGGAGAAGGGTTAGTTTCCTGACCTTCCTTTGGATTCCCCTTCTCCTTGTTTCCTTCTCCTTAACAATCTTCTTCTCTCCTTCTTTCCTTTCTCTCCTTCTTGCCTTTGCCTTTCCCTTTGCCTGTGCCTTTCCCTTTGTCCTTCCTTGCTCCCCTCCTCTCCCAAGCTGTTGTGGCAGCGAAGCCTAACCGACATTGTGTTCTGAAACACCATGTTGCCCTTCAAATCACAGAAACCTAGTTGAAAATGAGGGGGGCCTTCCCACCATGAATTACATGGTCATTTTTTGACACTGTGGCATCAGTATGTCAATAAACATGTTGCTTCCACTTTTGCTATCTGGGCGAACCCAAGAGCCAGAAGAAACTGACGCCGAGGAGATGTTACGTTTCATCATGTTATGCTATGCATTGTATGCTGTGCCACGTAGTATACTGCAACGTGATGTGATGGAACGCCATGGTATGGTATGTGACATGTGATATGTTTGTTATGCTGTGCGATGTATGTTGAACAATGCTATGTTGTGGTATACTACGTTTTGATATGTTTTGTATGTCGTACATATTTGTGTATGCATCGGAACTTGCAAACCACATGCGGATGCGCACAGGATTCGATCACACATATTGAGGTTGTACTAACGTATGACCCTCCACGAGAGGACTGGTATAGCAGCGGGGGTTGTACTGGGCTGCGCTATCGAAGAAGATATGTTGATGCCTCAGAGTTTTTTTAGCGCCGCAACCAAACAGTTTTTTATTTTTTAAATCAAACCTCATGACTTTGAAACTTAGCTCCGCTTCCGGAAGGACATGCAAGACCAATGAACAAAAATACTTCCAGTAGAAGCTGTCAGGTAAATCTTCCCAACAATGAATGTGGATATCCTTGTATTGGGCCGACGGTACGCCAAGACTGCAGCTTTATTGCTTCGCATCGCACGACCCGACCAATTGCAGTTTCGATTGGGCTTCACAGGTGGAATCTGAGCGACAACGTAGTGGGACAGTGGATTGCGAAGAGCTGTTTGATTGTAGCCTTTCTGTGTCTTGGCTCCACTTAACCAGAAGCAGATCCCTTTGACATTTGTTGAGAACAAGGCTTGGTCCTCTTGGACTAGTTGCAATTCCAGCTGTCACCTTAGAAAAGGAAAGGCATTCCTTTGGTCATCAGTCTTTATCAACCTTTCAGATTGAGGTCTTGACCAGTCCATCAGGCATCGGATAATTGAGGAACCAGCAAGCCCAGATGGGTGCATGACTTGGAATTTGTCACTTTGGTCACTTCACGCTTTAGTTTGCAACGTAATATTCATTCATTCAAGGTAGGCAGGGTCGGTGATGAGGAATTATTTGATGTCATTCAGTTCACTCTCCTTTTAGCTTGAGGCTCAAGCCAAAAAGGAGTGTCGCTCCGTGTGAATCAGGGTCGCTGATTCGCAAGATTCTTTTTGTGTGCGAGCCATGGCTGACGCAAATGCTCGACGCGCGGTTGAGCAGGAGAAACTGAATACCTGGTGTGCCAGGATGGGGATTCAGAGTGCTAGCGACTTGGCTTTTTGGTTTACCTCCTACGAGGAAGCACTTCGTGAAGCCGGTCGCGCAGTGGCAGAGCGAACCGGGGATGGCAGTCCTGGTTCGGCACATTTTTGCGAGGGAGACAGTTCGCCAGTCTCGCCCGCCACAACCATCCAGTGCTCCGGCTCCTTCACTGCCTTCGTCTTCGGTGGCCCGTCCAAAGCCGTCTTCATTTGCTGGGCCTGTCAAGCCCAAGAAGAAGCCAGCCCAGCCGGCTGATGCGAAGGGCGGAGTCGCCGCCTTGTTTACTCGTGACCTGTTGGGCATCATGGTGACGTTGATGCCTCCGCCACCTGCTCGACGAGATGAATACATGGCCAATTGGGCCTCCCGCTTGGAGAAGCTATGTGCCCGCACCGAGGCGGCCACCATCAAGCGCGTGGCAACAACGACTTCACCGTAGGCATTCCAGGGATGTCTTCAGACGAGACACGAACAACTTCTCGGACAGCAACTCGTCCGCGGCTACCATAGCTTCGGACCATCGCTCCACAGCGGATGTAGTTTTGATTTCTTCCCAAAGAAGCTCGGGCGCACTGGCCAAGAACAAGGCAGCAGCAAGCCGGAGTTGGTGGCCTTGCTTTTGTTTCCGAGCATCGCGCCGCAATGGAGTTTGTGCTGTAGAGCTACCACTCGCAGCGTCCGTCCATTGGCCAATAGCAAGGCGCTCGGTATCGGTGAGCCGCGCAATCCCTGCTAAGGTGGGCACCACCCGCCTGAAGCTGTACGAGCTGAGGTTCTGCACGTCCAAGACGCCATCGAAATAGGGGCGAACCACTCGAAGGAATTGCCCAATTGACACGGGGACACCTGTGTCAGAGTCGAAGGCCAAAAAGTGCCAACGACGATACCCCTCGCCGTGTCTTGGACGGACCTTGTCCAACTGGCGGTTCCAAATGGCGTATACAGGTCGAGGCTGCCCAGCTGCCGAGGAATCGACCAGGCGAACCCATCCTCCAGGACCCCCAACAAGTGAGTCACCATGCCCGGCTCAAGCGGGGCTGCCTGGGACTGCCCCTGTCCCAGCCGAGTGCTCCGGACTGGAGCAGGCTTGGAAGCTTCACTCAAATCCAGTGGTACACGAAGGTTTCGAATCATCCAACCCAGGGATGTAAACACACGCGTAGGACCATGGTGCTCCCTGACGAAGGTGGCCAACGCATGGGGGTCGGGGAACTTCAACCCCAAATGGTCCATATAGCGCACCAAGTCCTTCCAGGTATTAGGTATGGAGCAAACGGGCAGCTGCTACAGCCTTGACGGGATCTTCTTCCTCTCCATCGCAGCCGAAGCCTAAGGTGTCTCCGCGTCTGGCGCCCAAGAAGGACGAGCCTCCTCTGCAGAGGCGACGCCTTCCTTAGAAGACGGCGGCGCCGACTGCGCCTGAGCAGGTGCCTCCTGCTCCTGCGGTACTGCCTGTACCGGCCAGTCAGGCCACGGTGGATCCACCCACCCCTGCCAGGGGTCCGGGGACTCCGGCGGTGGCTGTCAAGAAGAAGCCGCAGCCACCGGCTGCCAAGGCTCGACCTCCGCCGCCGGCGGGGCCGCTCAACGAGGTCTCCGATGCGATGTTCGATATCGCCGCTCGTGAACGTTGGGCGCAACCTGGACACAGCGGACGACCAGAGCCTCCTACATTGGTCTTTTGGGGCGCTGACGGCCACGGGTCGCTCTACCTTGCTGGTCTGCCGAAAGACCCTCGGTGGGTGCGCGGCAACGATATTGGGTTCATCGCCTCAGCTATGGAGAAAACCGCCGCTGAGTGTCCTGGCGGAGTGGCGCAGCGAGATTGTTTTCAATTGTCGTGCCCTGTGTCGTACCAGGGTGCGAAACGTGATCAGGCCTTGCAGGATATCAAACAAGCGGCCTTCGCTACCCTTGCTGCAGGGTCGAACGTTCTGGTCCACTGTCAGGCCGGAGTGCGCAGGGCACCAATTCTCATGGCCATCCTCCTTGCCTGGATCAAGCGCACCGACTTCGACCAGGAGTACACGAGACTTGAAGGGCTGAGGGCTATCGATCGCCAAGGCGTTTTGAAAAGACGCGGCGGCGACGCACTGTTTAGTTGGGCCCGGTCGAGCTGCGGGGGGAACCTGCCCCAGCTCCCAAGGTACCCTGTCGTTTTTATATGTTCAACAAAAGCAGGGGCATTGTGGCACGTAGAGCGCGAAGGCGCACCGTGGTGCCGGTGGAGACAGGCGTCTCCAGGCTTTCGTGGCGATACCCACGCTACGTCTGTGCACGAGGCCTTGGGGTATGATCGCCAGATTAATTTGCAAGTCATGCCAGGCTGTGCTTCCCGGCCCGGACCGACGTGCATTGGCCTGGGCTGTACGTCTAGTGAATTTGTGTCAAAAGGCGCATTGTCGTGTCCTGGGGCCAAGTGTGACCAAATGTGCGCCAAGTCAGTTTTGATCGTTACTCATAGTTGCAGCTTCGTTCATTCAAGTTCGATCGTTCAGCATGGACCGACCCCAGGCTATCCAGTTGGCGGCTGTTGCCATGGCGCCTTTGGACGGAGACGCGCGGCGGGGCAAAGCTGTTGAGTTGAGGGAGTTGGGGCAGCAGGCTCGTCTAGCCCTGGAGTCTCTACCCCCTATCAATTCCTGTGTCTGGGGGTGGTTCTGGTCCAGATTCGCGCTATGCAGAGCCTCTGTACTAGCTGGATTGAGTGGTGGGATGAGATTCAAGACGTCCCCATGCAGGGAATTCGCCCAGCCTGAGCCGGAACTTCATCCACTGTTGGGGGCACGGCCAGTCAGGCCTGGGTCTGTTCCCCCTTACATATCTGTTGTGCGGGCCTGTTGTGACGAGATCAAGCTTCTGAGTACTACGTTGGCCCCTGCTGAGCGCCGTCGCCTACGTTCGGCCCTGATGATGGCCCATGATGAGGTGACACCGCTTGCTGATGCCCTGCACTGGGATGCTTTGCGCTGCCTGGGCTTGGAGCTCAATGAGTTGGCACCGCAGTTAGAGTAACGTACCTTTGAGGGTTGGTAGACAAAAGGTTCGATGCTTTTGATGTGTTCATTTCATGAGGGTGGTCTCACGTTTCTTTCCACTCTATTATTGTGTTGCAGCTGTCTTCAAGTTTCAAGTGTTCAATTCGATTTCGACGATCCTTCGATTGGCTGACATGTCGTCCGCACCTCCCAAGCAGTTGGCTACGCCTGAAGATACCTTCACGGCCTTGGCTGCCCAGTTCAACTTTGACAACCGCATCAAAGACAAGATCCTTGAGTTGGGCATCCGTACCTTGGCAGAGTTCCGCCACTACCCTCGGACTGACGAGGAAGTCAAGAAGCTCTTTGTGGACAGCCTTACGCCGTCGTTGGATGACATCCCGGCTCGACTGCAAGCCGCTCGCCTTCGCTTTGCTTGGAACTCCTGCAAGGCTATGTTGGACGCCGAGCACGCAGCCGCCAGTCTGCCGCCCGCCTCTACTGAGGATGAGACCTTGCTGCCTACATCCAAGCTCGATTCCTTGAAAGAGGCCTTCTACAAGCGCTACCACATTCGTCCGGAGCCTCGCCAGTTCCCATCGGATCGCTTGTTGAGCAAGTTGAGCCGCCAACTTTACCGGGGGCAGTTGGAGGTCATGGACCTGTGGACTGTCCGGTCTTTGACGTTTCAGCGGACGCGCAGCCAAAAGCGCCGCAAGGTGGGGGATGGCCTATGAGGACGACACCGAGGAGGATATGTCCAAGACCTGGCTGGCCTACCTCATGAAGCTCGAGACCTACCTGTTGGCTTTGGCTATTGTGGGCTGTCGGCCCCGTGACCCTCCTCCAACGGCCCCGGAATCCTTGTCTTCGAACAGCTTGGACTACGCGCAGGTGCCCTATGATACCTTGTTTCGCTACTACGCCCGGTGCCAGGACCTGGTCTACCGTACAGCTGAGTCGAAGCGCCTCAGCGTGCTGCAGCACCTGGACGTCGAGGAGCGGGGGCAGTGGTCTGCCCGGACTGCAGTCGGCGCGTCCCTGGGATCGGTGATCCATGCAGTGCACCGCGAGCGTGACGCGCTCTGGATTGCGGGGGCTCTGCCGGTGCCAGTGGTGGGTGGCGGGGGGGGGCGCTCCCGCGCCATCCTCTGCGGTGGGGTCGCAGCCGCCGGATTTTGCCGGACGGGCAGGTTCTGTGGTCCACAGCCTTCGAGATGGCACAGCTCTATGCCAAGATTTCCAACGTGGCCGTTGCAAGAACAAGCGCAGTGAATGCCGTCCTTCTGAAGTCGGGGCGCGTCTGTGGATCCTGGCAGCACGCGCCTGCCCGTTGCCCGAGCAAGGCTTGAAATGAAGGCCGCTCTTCCATCGGGGGGGAGCGAGGCCAATTCCATGACATGTCTGTGTATACTGACTACCAACGGTTCATGGAAGAGCTCTCCCTTGTTGAGCCAGTGAATGATACAGCCCGCAAGCCAGTCTTTCTTGATGTGTTCAGCGGCTTTAATGCTCCGCTTGCTAAGGCCTTCCTTTGGTGCCGATGGGAAGTGGTCACGCCTATATCGACATTGAGATCGACAAGGACTTGGACGTGTCTCGGCCTTCGGTTCGTCGCGCCATTCATGCAGTCCTCCCTCAGCGCCGGAGCGATGAGCTGTGCCACCAAATCCCGGGCACGGGAGAAGCCGCCTGGTCCCCCTCCACTGCGTAGCGAGGACTCGCCTCGGGGTCTTCCGGGGATCCCTGAACGCAGTCAGCAAAGGGTGGATGCAGACAACTATTCCAGCGACTATACTTGCTAGCACTCCATACCTGGGTAGCCCAACATGGCTTGGGTGGGTTACAAGAGAATCCCCTGCGTTCTTTGCATTGGTGGGATCCTATTGAACTCCATGTCACCCAACAGAACATGGCATGATTTGGATTACGATGCATGTGTTTTCGGGGGAGCTCGCAAGAAGTCTCAGCGGTTTCGTCGCAACATTCCAGAGCTTGCTGCCCTACCAGCTGTACGTTGCGGACATATACATGACCCTCGGGAGTGGTCCTCCCCAGTCGAGGGAGGGTTTGCTACCTTTGCCGAAGCGGAGTACACCCCCAGTTTGGTTTGCAGTGGCTTGTACTGCATGGGCAGCTCCCGAGGATATCACGTGACTCAGGTACCCAGGCTGCCGCCCATTTCGCTGTCAGGCGATCGCCGGCCGTTGTTGCAGTTCGAGCCGTCGGAACTCCGTCAGGACTTGATGGACGTCATGGGTTTCCACTTGGGTTTGTCCCCTCCGGGTGTGGACTCCTCCTTTGTCCCTGCACGGTTGGTGGCTAGTGAAGTTCTGCAGACACGGAAGCACCTCCAGGAGAATGAGATCTACATCGGCCCTGGCCACTTCTCCCATTGGTGGCCCCTTTCACAATGGCAGAACCCCTTCCGTGCCGGGGAGGGCCGTACATCCTCTGAGAGTGTACTTCAGTTTGCGCGATGGATCCATAACCAAGCGCACCTCCTTGATGCACTGCCTTCACTGCACGGTTGTACGCTGATCTGCGATTGCCCTCGCAACCAGCTATGCCATGGAGATATTCTTCGCGCACTTATTTGGACTACTACAACCTCGAGGTCTACACTTCCACGACGACGCCGCCAGCAAGGTGTGCGCAAGGTGGCCCTGCTGGCCGTGGGCCTGCGCCCAGTCCGGGCAGTACCCCTCAGCTTTTCACAGGACACAGTGATCAGTGCCCTGATGGCTTTGTGTCCTCACATCCATTGGTCCGGCTTTCAATGGCCCATGATTGAAGATCTGTTGATCGATGATTCTCACTTCGTTTGGTTGACCACCATGCAGACCAGGGACGACTGGCAGGGCCAAGCATTTGGCCCATCTCTGGCGGGACCCATTGAGCGGGCTGCCATCTCGCTACACGGTTTTCAGCAGGCAGGGGCCGCGGCTGCGGCGAAAGCCATGCCGCCATTGATTCCCTTTGGCGTGGGTGATGAACGACACTTTGAGCTGGCAATGGACCTCAAATCCCAGCCTACCCCTTTTGAATCGATGGGTGTTGTTGATGATGATTTGATCTTTGCTGCCGACCAGTCGACAGTTGGGTGCATCATTACGAACCACCAGGCAGCATATGACGCGCTGGATTCACGAGCTGGCCCGGCGCACCTGGCCTATCACTGAGTGGCTACGCCAATTTCAACCACTGGTCCGGCACGAGTTACTAGAAGCCGCCACATTGCCCTGATCGGCTTATTGATGATGTTCATCGGGTGGCCTGACCCTACCTTCATGGAGTGCCTGATCTTCGGTTTTCCGGCAGTGGGTTTCTCCCCACATGCGCCAGTCTACAAAGCCCAGCCAGCCAGCTGTATCACCTCGTCGGAGGTGGTGCACGGGGCGTGGCAGGATGCAGAACGCCTCATTCGCACCTTGCAGTCATGCGAACACGACGAGGCTATCGTTCGGGCTGGGTCAGACGACGAAGCACTGGGGTTTTGTGGACCCGCCATGTCTTGGTCCCAACTTTGCCGCCAAGTACGTCACTTTCGCCTGATTCGGCGGTTTTGCATTCAGCAACCCAGCGGAAAGCTCCGAGTCATTGATGACGCTGCTGACGGGGGACAAAGTGAACTTAGCCACGATTCCAATAAACTGGACCTGTGCATCCAACGAGGTTTGCGTGTGCAACTTCTCTGGCGGGCAGTCAGCCCTCTTCCCAATGCAGACGCATTGCTTGCAGAAGGCATTTGTTCAGGGGGTGAAGACCTGCCCAATGCATACCGGCATGTTCCCATGGTCCCAGAGCACTCCAACCTTGCCATCGTCGCCTACTACGACCATCATGTCGGGGAGCCTCGTTTCCGCCGTTATTATGGTTCACTGTTTGGCCTGCCCAACGCTGTTTGCTCCTTCAACCGGTTCCCTCGGTTCTTTCAGGCTCTTTGTCGCCGCGTGGGATATTGTTTGGCCAGTATGTACTTCGACGACCTTACCGTCCAGGACCTGGGCAGCTTGAAGGGTTCAGCCCAACAGTTCATTACCTCGCTGGCCACCGAACTTGGCTCACCATTTCAACCGGAGAAGCATCAGACCATGCAAAGTCAATCTGACTTTCTGGGGCTGGTACACGATGTTAGCACTTGTCACCAGGGGCAGCCTGACAGATTTTGGCCGAGAGATCGTCTGATCACTAAGGTCACGGACCTCATGGACGAAGCCACCGAAACAAACCGACTCCCGCGAGGTCTTGCTGCCAAGCTGTTTGGTTGCCTGGGCTTCCTCAACGCGGGGTGTTTTGGGAAGTTGGGGAGATCAGGATTGAGTCCACTGAAGGAACGTCAGTATTCTCGTGACACCGCTTTGACTGAGGACCTCTCACGTTCTTTCGTGACCATCAAATCCCTCCTCGCCTTGCGTCCTGAGCGAGAACTACCACTTCAGCCCGGTAGCCGGCAACGCTACGTCGCGGCATCCGATGCGGCCCAAGACGAGCCTCGGCAAGGTTCAGCGGGCCTGTTATTTGTTGGACCCCAAGGTGAACGAGGTGCCTATGTCATTGACATTACGGCGGAGCTCTTCAACCTCTGGTCCGAGCACCCCACCAAAATCGCCCAGTTGGAGCTTCTTACAGTTTATGTCGGCTTCATCTTCGTGGCCAGCCAGGCCCGCTCCTGTCAGGGGCTTTGGTTTGTGGACAACATTGCAGCGCTGGTGGCCCTAGTCAAGGGCAGGAGTGATAACCCGGAGCTGGACACTATGGCAGGATGTATCCATGCTCTTCTCTATTCACTGCGCAGTGGATGCTACTTTGAACGGGTCCAATCAGCAGACAATTGGTCCGATGGTATTAGCAGGCAAGGGATTCACGATAAATGGTATCAGGCTCATGGCTTCCGTGTACATCGCGTTCCAGTACTCCGCCTACCATACGTCATTATTCCAGTTCTTCTGAGTGCTGTGGGTATGTAGAATGCATTGTGAACGAATACCTGGCAGAGGTATGCGCCAGGGGTGCGCGCAGCGTGGGCTGCTGTGACAGGGTCACATTAACCAAAGCACTTTTGAACAAGACTTTTGAAGCTCGTGCGAAAAAGAAGCGAACCAAGTCCGACTCGTCATACATCAAGTCAAGTGTAACTGATGCAGCCGAATATATATATATATGTGTAACGCTGGGTCGTGAAGTTTCTGAAGATCAACGCTGTTTGCGTTTTTTGCCCAGGAATCCTTGCAGTGGACCTTTGAATGAGACCAAGGCGTGCTGGTTTTTGAGATCCGTGCAGATTGTTGTTGGGCCCTGGGTGATGGCCGCACTGTGAGGCTTGCTTTGAGGACAATGCTCCCGAAAGCTGCCTGTGGACTTTATGGAGCCAATGGGGAAGGCTGCGCTTAGAGTCTTAGAGGAGAATTATCATTCTATTTCTCAATAGAAAAGAGTCTGGCCGCAATCTGTGGCGCAAACGCAGCCCCTGTATTCGAGTAATATTTTTGTGTTGTTTTCCTGTGCCTGCACCTCCATGCTTGGTTAGTTTGGGTCGAGTGTTTTGTGTCCGGTTGCTCTTAGTTTCTTGCTGTCGTTCCAATGCTTTGTTGTGATGCCTGGAGAGGCTGCTGTCGAACACATTGAACCTGCAGTTTTTGCTACCCACAACAACAATTCTTGCTGAAACTGTTTGGAGCCTATGCTGGTATGAATGTATTCACTTTGCTTGTAGATCCGGCGCAGGAGTTTCATGCCACGCACGTTTGTTGCTCCAGATGGGTCTTGTTGCTTTCTTCCAGGTTGAGTGATGCTTTACCCGGGTTGCTTACTGTACACACACAGACACACAGATATATATATATATATAACCGTCCTTAAGTACATAGAATACGGAATTGAGCCGCCAAAGTACATTCCGTCATTGCAAATCCATATTCTAGGTACCCTGCTTTGACCAAAATAAAAAGGTACTTGGCATATTCCCAAGCGGATCAATTTGGGTACTTGGAAAATCTTGGAATATCTAAGTTTGTACGCGCGGGTGTTTCGATCGAGGCAAGCGGGTGTTTCAAGAACACAATCCTGAAGATTATTTTAGGGACCCCGATATTATTTTTTTGTTTGAGTGCCGCGGGATTGAGCTGCACCGAAATTCTATGAACTTCACGATGGTTATATATAGATATATTTATGCGCGAACATAAGCTATCATAAACAAATTATACATCTACATCATCCTGACTTGGATAGCCATCCTTCCCTGTTGTCACGCGTTCCAGTAATATGCAAAGTCCTGCCGATTCTCACGCAAGTCTGCGGGCCAAATGTTTTTGCATTTGGAATCAGATATGAATGCCACTTGTCCATTTGATGCAATTCTTTGCTGTAGCCAGGTGTAGCTTCTCATGCGGAGATGGTCGACGCACGAGGCCATTGGAATTAGTTCTAGTCCAGGAATATCAACACCCCGTGACTTTGTACGAGGATGCGTCGAATTCAGGCAGAATCAGATCCAGGCCTGTCAGGGTGGCTAAAGCTATCCCTTTGCTCCCTTGAGCAACTTTCTGCAGGGGAGCGTTGAACATACTTTCATTGTTTTATCTCTTGTTGTTTCTATTTGGCTGTAGCACTGTAGCACCAGCTTGTATGGATAAATACTCTCATTGGGTATGTGGTTCTTTTGGAAGTCTCCCATCACCCTGGAAGTCAGGAACTTATGGACATGGGATTGTACAAAGTTCCAGGTTCTTTTGCTTCTTGAGAGTATGGGGTACTGTCATTAAGCACATTTTCAGGGCAGGCCAAGTAGCAGGGTTGTGGCATTTTATTGGTGGACAGATGTGATTTGTTATCTCTTTGACTTTGGCTCAGCTCCATTTTATGAGTCTGAGCTCTCCTGGCTTGAATGAGCCTCATCACTCATCATGCTATGACGCCCCACGCCACGCTTCTTCCAACACTTTCTCCTGGTCCTATTCATATTTTGAAGACCATAATTTAGTGCTACAGCTGTGATTGCATATGGCATATGTGATGGTCGTCCCATACTTTGGGATTATGACCATATTGAATAATTTTCACTTGCTTACTGTGTCGAGGACGACACACTCAAAACAAGAAGTGTACCGTGAGCCCTTTTGCGGACGTTGAGCATTGCGCATTGAGCAACAAGTCGGGTTGTGTTGCGCATTGAGCACTGTGCATTGAGCATTGGTTGAGTGTAGTGGTTCCAACAGTTGGAAGGAGAGAAGGACGGGAACCCAATACAGTTGCTTTGCCTAGGTGTGCTCTTGCAACGGGAGCCACATACAGATGGGTCAAAGTTGCTTTCAAGCCAAGTGTCTTTGAGGTCAACAGTCGAGACGATGAAACCAAGGCCGTTCGTGAGTGGTCCTGGATTTTCGAGAAGTACTTGTTTGACTTCAGGTGATGAGAACTACGTGACTTACTTGAAGGAAACCCATCAAAAGCCGAATGAGACCTTTGACATGGATAAGATTCATCAAGTTGTAAAGATAGCTCGCTTTTAAGAGCGTTGGTGGCGGTGAGGGCCGTTGGAAAGTCGAAAGATTTTGGTGCTTGGAGGAGCCCGTGGATTAGCCTTGCAGGTGGCCAGCCTCTATATACACTGAACGCAGCTCTACAGCAACAGTTCGGGGGCTTCAAGTCAGGAGGAGTTGAAGTCCACAATCCTTCTGAGGCTCTTGGGAGGGCAATTGAAGTCATACTTGAGAACCTCACCATAGGAGACGTGGTGAGGTATTCAGATTTAAGGCCCAATGCCATTGGATATGGACCGAGTGCAGGAGAAGGCCAAAGGCCAGCGTGAACACCAGAAAGGCAATGGGAAGGACAATAAAGGCAATGGCGAGGAAGGAAAAAGCGATCAACAGGAGGGGAATGATTAACAAAGGCAAAGGAAGGGAGCGGAAGGGAAATGTTGGGGCTTCCTTCACATGTGGCAAGCTGGATCATATGGAGCAATGTGGGCAGCCCAGTCCTGTACGGTCCGTACAGTTTCCAAAAAAGGATCGGTGCATTGGTGCGTACCCAATAGCTTAGCACGGGCTGGGGAGAAATTGAGTCAATTAACAAAGACTGCATTTAATTGGAAGGGCACTCTAGGAAATTTGAAGGGCACTCTAGAAAGTGTTGATTTCAGTGACGTGCATCGTTTGTTGCAACTGCTTCGAACCAATCTAGACAAATATTCCAGATTGACCAACCCAGCGCCAGCATTTGCCTCGGACCGCTCTGGAAATGACTCCAGACCTCCAGCGCAGCCGGTGAAACCAGAAGTTCGAATTCCAATGACAAGTTGTACTTCGATGCCAGTCGTCGTTGACCGCATCAAATGGAAGCGCGCGCCAAATTTTGATCATGTCCTTTTTGTCAGACAGAATTGTTCGAGAAACCTACCAGAGCCGGACGAAGCGTCACAGCAGCAAACCTCAGCGGAACCCGGCCACCATCTTCGAGCTACGTGAGTGGTACGCTTTCGAGCAGTTTCACAAAATCGCAACAATTCACTACTACGTTGTGGACGACGACGATGAAGTTGCAAAGGACACAATGGGTCTTTTGGCCTAAGGTTAAGCGGAATGAGAAGGTTGAGTGAGGAGAATGGGGATGCGTCCACCATCATCGACAGTGGAGTGGAGCAGACGTAGCGGTTTCGCTTGGGGGAGGACGGGGTTTCGGGGTGAGCTCCCGGCTTCAAGATGCTCAGGCGAATAGAGTACCGACAGCCGACAGGAGGAATGAAAGGGGTTGAGATTTCGTTGCAGGAGCTGGACGGCGAAGAAGTGATTCTCAAAGAGAACGTAGTCTTCAGTTCAAAGGTCAATCAGCCCGTCCTGTGCCATGGGCGATTCATGGAGCAGAGGGCAAGCGCTGGAGAACAGCAGGTTAAAGGCCCCTTCAATTGCAAAACGAGACCTTGGTTGTTCATGGTTGAGTTCGTGTCATCAGGAATGAGAACGATGAAAAGGCTGCAGGCTGGAAGTCTGGAAGTTGGCGGCGGGAAGTTGCTGCAAAGGTGCCAGACGAAGCCACGCAAGCAAGGCGCGACCCACGCGCTTTCCACATGCAGGAACGTTCAACATCGAGCGCGACCAGACAGGCGCGAGAGAAACGAGGGCACTCAGGCCAGCTCGGTTCCAGAGACAAATCGGCAGTTCATAGCCAGACAGGTTACTTCCGTGTTAGGCCACTTGCGTTGTATCGTTGGAGTACTCATGAGTTTCATCCAGATTCAGGAGTGACAAAGAGCCACCAACCAGACAATTCTTGGCCTGACCACAAGGCTCCATCCTACGAAGCGGGGTCACCACTCTTTCTCGTTTGGCTTGGGGAAGGCTGAGGCTCAGGACACCTACGCTCTCACGTATGGCGCCCATGTCTCCATAATCTTAAGCGCATGCGTCGGAGGACGGACCAGGACTGAGGAAAACCTTCCTTGCAAAAACTTCAATGCTTTCTCACAGGAGTTCCAGACCAACTTTGGAAGAGCGAATTCGCGCGAGAGCACATCGTAGACGCAGAAGTGATGATTCGGTGTTGCCAACAGAAGGGTCAGTCCAGATGGAAGATCACTCAAAGTTGTTGCAAGACACAAAGCTATTTACAAGGTGCAGAAGCATTGGGCATTTCCGTTGTCAGGAAAGGTATGATGTGGCCTTTGTCGTGAAAGAACTTGCGGTTAAGGCGTCCAATCCTACTTCATCACTTGACAGGATGTTGGTACCCGAAGGCCGACGGGCTACTGTTTGGTAGTGAAGTTCTCACAAGCTGGTAAGGGGATGATCAGTGACCGGTGTTTGAAGACGATCGCAGCTTCTGACTGGAGTGGAAAGGAGCAACGCAGACGGTCAACGTAAAAACCTCTCCACTCACCTAAAGGACGCCCTCAATGCAACAGTAGTAGAAAACAGAAGGTTGTCAGTTTGTCGTTTTGTGAGGCAGAACCTCATGTCACGGGGCCAATGTTTTAGACGGGGCCGACATCAAAGCGGTAATCGAATTTGCTTTGCAGACGGCGGAGGTGAAACGTTTCTTGTCACAGACTCTTCAAGTGCACGGCAGCTAAACTGCACGGCGTTATAACTGCGAGGAGAGATTGTTGGCAAAATTTGCCAGCTGAATGGAAAAGACATCTCCATCACGCAGGTTCCAACAGAAAGCAATCTAGCTGCTCTCAATACCAAGCCACTGGGAGGCCAGAGGGCTCGCTTCTTGATGGGCCTTTCAGGGTATTGGGAGAAGGAAGTGCGCCCAGAGGTTAGTGCAGAGGAGATAAAGGCGCATGAAGAGAGGAGGAGTTTGCAAAGAAGGTCAAAAACGTTGCCAAAGTGTTGGTGAGGATGGTGGCGTCTGAGGGCTTGCAGCCAACGGCTACAGACGCGTTTAGCTTCATGACTGCAAATGTTGAAGGCCAATGCCCAATCAGGGAAGGTGGAAAGGTTGAGCCCAGTTTCATGTTCCTGTTCCTTTTGATTGTCTTCGGATTTGCAGCGGTTGCGGGTGGTTCTTTCTTTGGATGAGGGTTGAACGGGGGTTTGAGAGTTGGGGCAGTAGGGCAAAACATGTCTTGACAGAAAAGAAGAGGACAAACATGGATCTTCGTGAAAACCATGCGCGAAGGATAGTGGACCCGTTTTGAACGGTGGGTTCATCGCGGAGGAAGATCCACAGAGAGACCACAGACAAGCCGACGACGTGATCAATGTGGCCAACGCAGGAAACCATGTGGCTAGGAACCTTCAAGATCTTCGAAACACAAGCGGCAGGTGCAGTGAGCATGACCTGTTGCTACTTGCTGCTACGCAAGGTGCTGTACCTTAGAGGGGTCCGGCGTCAAGACCACCAAGGAACAGCGCAACAGGATTCAGAGACCCAGAGAACACAACAAACCTGTAAGAACTGAGGGAACGAATGCAAGTCTGTATGGCAGAATTCAAGACAAGATGCACAGGCTTCAAGGCCAAGAGCAGAGGTTGGTGATACAAGGGCGGGAAGAAGAGGGAATTCGAGTGACATTGAAAAGCAGAAGTGCTATGAAATGCTCGAAATCCCAGGTGGATAGCAATAGAAAGAGAAGAAACCATCCATGTGCAGGATGACGCGTTCAAAATGAGAAGTGCCGTAAGCCCTTCCCCATCTCTAAAACATTCGTTTTATATGTATATATTATAATATAGTATATATATATGTTATATTGTGTTTAATCCATTGTTTTTCACTTCCTTGTGTCCTGGGTTTTTCACTGGCCACTGGCCGGTGTCATTTTGCTAGTTGACGCATTCTAAAGTAAGGTTTTTGGCCAACTGTGCAATAAGTATCTGCACTCCGCCAACAGATGTGGCACCGCTTACATTGGCCGGCGCTCTATATGAAAAAGGTCGTTCTCTATTCTTGTACTAACAGGTGAAAGTGACATCGCAGCTTGCGTGTGGTGCCGTCACCCTTCCCGTGATGCACATTAACTTTAGGCATGGCCTTAGATGGCTTTCCTGGCGTGCCCACTTGGGCCGATCCCTTTTCCTCCAATGACTGGCCCCAGTGAGAGCATGGCCTGAGGGGTCTTCCACACTCCGCAGATTTGACTGGTTGGCCTTCCTCACGCCAGGTGGCCTACCATGCTGGGGAGCTTCCCTGGAAAATGGAGCTTGCAACAATGGTGATTGCGCACCAACAGATTGCAGGCCAACGTCACTTGCGTTGTTGGGGTCCTGTGCTGATAAAGGTCTCTCTCTCTCTCTATATACATATATATGTATACACATTACACATACATGTTTTTTGATATGAAAAGGCATGCTTTGACACCTTGTCTGAGTCTACACGAGGTCTATGCAGCGTTTTTCCTCCTATATAGTATGCATAGATCATAGATGCCAGTAGACTCCTCCGGTTTCACAAACAAGACGCTGGACCCAAAATTACTCACATGCTTTTGCGCCCGATCGTTGCAGGCTAAATCCATGGTCTCCATGGTCTGAGTGTGAGGTGCGGCCAATTTGACACGCTCAGGTGCCCCATTGGTGATTGCTGGCTGAACCTGAAAGACCTAAGGCTCTGAACACGCAGCGCTACCGACGCCGTAGTGTCGAAATTGCACCCAGCAACGGAGGACGCCGGAGCCACAGTACTGATTTCGAGCACGTTGACCAGAAATAACAATTTGTTTTGTAGAAAGTGCCTTAGGTGCCTGCGACCTGTACTTGATCATGCCGCGACCTGATGTGTTGGGAGTCAACACGCTTAGCCTTGGCGTCCTTTACGCCATGGTGTAGAGTTGCACGTTAGTTCGCACAGAGATTCTCCTGGAAATAGCTTGTGAAAAGGCAAAGATACGTCTTACATCATGCAATATGGTTGATGAATCATTCGGACTGACAGCTCTTTTTGGGCTGTTGTTCTGTGAATGTCAGGACAGTGGCTTGCTCTGCGCTGTGACCCCAAGACATGCTTATCGTTTCCTATTCTTGGCGACCACTTCCTGCGGGTTGCTCTGCGCAACGAGGCCCAGCACTGAAGGAGAAGAGTGCGAGATTGGCCTGTGGTCGCAAGAAACCGAGATCACTCTTGTTTAAGTGTGCAGGTTCCAAGACATAACACTGGTCCTGTGCAATCATCCAAACAGCAACTGATCAGAGGAGCGTGTTCAAGATGTGGCTATCGTTTTCCTCGCATGTCGCAGAAGCGGGTGTACTGTACTGGGGGACCTCGTAGAAAGGCACATGTTGTTGCTGCTTTGTTGATGACGTCATCTTTGAAGGGGCTGGCGCCCCAACCATTCGCTGATCTATCAGATCTCCCAGTCCCAGTATGTAGGAGGCCATCCACCTCAATTCTTCTTACAGCATTGCTGTGTTCTTTGTGTTATCTCAGGCTTGTTCTTGAGCCCCAAGTTCTTGTAAATAGATGATCAGTGATCTCGAAGCACAGCTTTTCATGTCGTCAGTTATCAACAGTCTAAATGACGGGCAACTCAAGGATGTATATTTAGCTCGGGGTTTTGATTTGGTTGTTATGTTCCATGAAAGCTGTGATTTCAACTTCTTGTTGATCATTTTTGTTCTCATCCGTCCACCTTTTCTCATCTTCCTTTCGGTAAGTTGCTTAATGGCTTTGCTTTCAGAGCCCTAATCTATTTATTTCACCATTTCTATCCGTGCCATGTCTCTCCATACGTTGTACTTCTGTTTGTCTCTAGCGACTTACCTATCAGATACTATCAGCGATTGATCATGCCTTCACTTGGCTACACGAACTTGGAGAGATTTTTCAACATGAGTTGGGGTTCTTTGCCAGTCTTTTGCACTGTTGCCCTGGCTTCTGTTCCCTCTCTTGTCAGGTGATCCCAATGGTTGTTCGTATGTTCTGTGAGGCTCACTTGCTGAACATAGACAAATCATACTCCACAATGTCATGACGTACAACGCATATAGGCTCAACGTTGTTTCAGAATCTTTTGACCAACGTGGCTGAACCAACCATGCGGGCTTTGCCTAGCTCCGCTGGGTCTGAACTGTTGGGCACCAGATATTGATGTCGAACCAAAGGAGACTTGAAATACTTCTTCAGGCAATGGAGCGATTGCTCGAAGTGGTAGCCCAAGCTATTCAGCTAAGCCAGATTGCGGGTCAAGATGGTCGATATGATGAGATACTGTTTCGATCTCAGGACTTGCGGCGGTGGCCAAATGTATCGAAAGCGGGAGCTTGCACTTTGCACGCAAGTGCCAGTGTTACATGCATTCATGTTGAGCATTCATCATGTATGGGTGTTCGCAGTGCTGCACAAGCTAAGTTGAAGCCAAACACGAAGGGCGGCTACTGCCATCACGCTGTTTGTGGCCTATCATATTGGCAGAGTGTCGAATCCACATGAAACGTGTGGTTGTGCATCCTCACCGCTTTTGATAATCCTGGCGGCCCTGGCGCTATTCAAGGTTTTGCAGCAAGCAGAACCGTGCGGGTTCGAAGCCAATGGAAGAGGGATATGCTTGGTTTCAAAGGGCAAGAATTAGAGCAATCGGTTCAAATCCTTGTTTAGCTACGAGTTTCCTGAGTTTCAGGCAACTCCGTGTCACCAATATTCATCAAAATATGTTATGTACAAAGAGTATATATATATACATGTTGACCTATTCGTATTGCAGGAGAGTCTGAGCCGTTCAGGATGGACCCTTGCAGAGCCGTTGGACCAGCCGATTGTAAGTTCGAGCATTGGGGCACATGGTGTGGTCCTTTGTTGACCTTGCAGAGCATAACAAGATACTTGGTGGCTGTAATTTCCACTTGCATTGCTGACTAAGCAGAACGTAAGATGCTTTGTTGAGGTCAAATTGTGATGTTGCTTGCGGAAGAGGGAGCAGGGAACGCTACAGAAAGGCCAGTGATCTTTGGTACGCTCCGGAGTGCTAAAAGGTTGAAGCACACCATGGACCATGGACCATATTCAGATCGCTGTGTTTGCGATGGACAGTGGCCGCGGTTGTTGCGGGCTCAATGCTCTCTCGCTTTGAAGCCGGTGTATTTTTCAATGCTGGCCAAGGCGAAGGAGCTACACAAGAGCTTTCATCCTGCCAGTTACAGGATTGCGAGGTTGGAGAGTTAACAGATGTCATCCTACTAGTTCAAACAAATTACAATAATTACAGTGACGTTTTGGCCGTCGGCTGCTTTTTTATGACTTCCTTGGCTGCAGGTGGTCGACTGCCAATGGAGTGCCGAAGACCTCAGTTTTTCTGCAATGTTTGAGTTGCTCCTTCTAGGAGGTTCCAACTTACTATAATTCCTTACTATAATTCCACCCCGGTTGCCCACTCCCCTAGGAAAGCATCCCTTTACGCTTTTCTCCTGAGGAGTGGTATGAGTGGTCTGTGTGCTCGGCTTCGTGTGACGGAGGAACCAAGCGCAGGAGCCCTACACTGACACAAAAAACATCAAAAGACTGTTGATGACCTAACAGAACTTGTAGTGCAGTAGCAAGGTCTGTGAGCCCTTTCGATAGAACCCAAAGTGCCGAAGCACGACAGGTCGAAACCGGAATGTCGCCGTCGCACCCCAAAATGGTGGCAGGCAAGAGCGTTTTTTGTTTCTCAAAAGGACCGCATTTCGAAGATAAAGCTAAGTCATTTTCGTTAGAGTGGCAGCCTGTGTTGAGGAATAGCAACCTATGGAACTTGTATGATGAACCGCTGAACCCCTGCAGTCTTTGCGTCCCCTACGACAAAAGCGAGATGGCGTCGGCAGCCAAAATCTGACTTGCATAACTCGTGGAAGTGCAAGAGAGGCAGGATAATGACACACCTACACACATACCCCAATAAAGGGAGACTCTGGCTGACTCTCTCTCTCTCTCTCTCTTTGTTTGTCTCAGCATGTTATCAGAAACTTTTCATGTCTTTTCATGACATGTCTCACACACGCAACCCTAAACCAAGTGCTGAAATCCTACCAAGCACTCTTTTTCGAGTCATCTACTGACGTGGAGGGTGCTGAGGACAGGGTGCAGCCGACTTTCTCTACGATTCGGCAGACGCTTTTATCATTTTGACAGACATTCACCATGGACTGCCCTGTTCACTTTAGATGTATACAAACCGCCTGAATACAGGCTCAAGATCCTTTGCAGAAAAAACAATTTGCGGCGCGCTTCCGTGTCTTTCATGGTAGCGGAGCCTCCGGCAGGCTCTGAAAAGATACCCTGCAAGAACGAGAAAGCGGACCTTTGGGAGGCCACAGGGGCCAGAAGAAGAAGAAGAAAAAGAAGAAGTGAGAGGAGGAAAGAAGAAGGAATTAGGGAAGACAAAGAGAAGGGGGAATGGATGCAGAGGCGCTGCAAGCTCTGAGTACAAAGCAATCATCAGAAGCAGCAGTTGAAGCAGTGAAGCTGTTGAGGAGAAAGATAAAGGGAAAGGAGTTGGGAAAGGATAAGGCTTCGGCAGTGCTAGCAAAGTATTGAAGCAACCTGAGGTGTTCTCACCATTGAATCAGGAAGGAGAGACTGCACAGTGGCAGGACTGGAGGTTGATGTTTTTGTGAGGGCCCATGGCCGCCTTTTGCAGATGGCAATTGCGAGACCATGGACTTTGCTGAGATGAGCGAAAGGCACAGCAGGTCAGAGCAGCTGCATACACTTTTTGGTGGAGCGGACCTCTGAAGGCTTTGAGATCATGGCGTTGAGGGAGGCAGCTCAGGCCAAAGACGAGAACGAGGACCATTGCAATGCTGCAGACTTACTGAGCCCATCCGGTGTTCAACAAAAATCGAGCTTGAGCAGGAGAATACCATGCCATTTCTGGTGAGGAGATAGCTCAGGAGGGTAATGCCGCAACATCTCAGACAGCGTTTGCAGTGACCATGGATGACAAAGCAACGTATAGTTCACGGTCAGCGCGCAGAGAGATTGACACAGCGCCATGATGACGTTATTCTTGTGGAAGTCAACAGGGTGAAGGTAAAGACAAAGGCAAACGCTAAAGGGAAGAACAAAGGGAAAGATGGCGCAGGCAAGAAAGGTCTTTCAGCAGATGTGTGCAAATTGCGCGGGCGGGGGCCAAGGCCATCGGCGTTGAGAGAGTCCAGTTCGCACTCTACGCCAGGTTGCTCGTTCTCTCAGCGTGGCGGGCCGCCAGTCCGCAGCCGCTCAGGAGGAAAGAGTGAGCTTCGTGGACCTGGCTGGTGATGGTTTATGGCCGGTGTGGGTTGCCAAACGAAATCTCACAGACGGCGGCGCTATGCGCCAGGCCATGACCGTGTTGGAAGGAGAAGCTGGACACATCTGAGGGGGCTTTGCGCTGTCGAATGTTTCTGTGTTGGCTCTGAAAATTTCGAGAAAGGATGGAAACTTGAGGGCGCCTATGATCATGCGCGTTTGGCCTATGGTCTTCCAGCAAGGCTTCAGGCGTAACTTGTTGGTTGTTGAGGCAAAGTTTTGACAGGTTGAAGGAGAGAAACCAGGGGGCGAAGGGAAGAAAACAGGTAAGGATGGTCACTTGCTCTTGACGGGCCTGTGAAGACCTTGGCGTCTATCACCAAGCAGACGCGTTCCTGTCTTGGTTTGTTCAATAAAGGCAGCTACCCTCAGTTCAGCAGAGTGGACGTCCCCATAAACAGGATGGTGATGGTGGTGGCCAAGAAGAGAAACTGATGGAGTCAATGGACATCGGAGAGGACTCCACATTCCTGACTCCTTGAGGTGAGTAAGAAGTTGAGGAGAGAAGAAGGAAGATGAAGGGAGGAAGACGAGGAGACAGCTGTTTTGGCCGCAGTCTTGAAGATGGAGTGTATGAAGGGGAGGATGAGGAAGAAGAAGTTGGAGATCAACTTGCGGCAGATGAAGGTGATCGTGTTCCACGAGCGCCAGCGCCGACGGAGGAGGAAATCAAAGAGGTAGAATGTGAAGGAGCTCTTCTGCTGGCACTTCCTCACGCTGGTTGTTCGCCCAGTGAGAAGTGGGAGGGAGTATGGACGGAGGAAAAGTGGCCACGTTTGGAGAGCGTCTTGGACTTCTAGAGGAATGGACCCTGCAAAAGGCGTGGCCAGGTCCGTGTGAAGGGGGCAGCTCAGTGGTTTCAAGACTTGAAGTCGACATTGAGGAAAGGAGGGTTAGAGCCACTTTGCTTGTCCACGTTGTCCGCATTGGTGTGGAATCCCAGCTTCAATCTTGCCTGCTGGATGATCTCGAGCAACATCCTCGTCAAAGGCTCCCCGCCACCTTTCAGGATGACCCTCAAGCAGCCCAAGCTGCTAACGAACGAAGGGACCAGTCATCAGTGGCGCTGCAAAGCTACAACGCCATGCAAACCACCCTGATACATCATCCTCATCAACTCCATCCCCACTCTTTGTGAAGCTGTGGAGATGATTGGCGTAGCTGCCTCTCCTTCTTGTCGAGTCGAATTCTGCACCTTGCAGCGTGCGTCTTCCCTTTCTCTGACGTTGATACGGCCAGTGCGTCAACTCGTGCGCTTCTCTCCGCTTTACTTGGAATCCTTGGCGCAATCTGCCCTTTAGCCTCTTCTCCTCCATCAGCGTTGCCCTTCTGAAACTCTTGTCGTGCAAGCCCCTAAGCTCAGGTTCTCGGCAAAGTGAACGTAATGATGGACCAACTGTGCCCAAGCGTCCTCCTTCTTAGTCTTTCCTCTTCCGAGACCACACGCTGCCTCATTGCAACGCGTAGCGGTGATGTTGGAGAATGATTTGGGGATGGCTGAACAATTGGTGAAATTCAGAAACACGTGGGTTTACTTTAGGTGCGCATTGAGGTTGAGCGAAGATATGGAGCAGGAGACGAAGCCAGTACAGAGCGTGACAGTGACAATGTTCCTGGATACATGGATGGGGAAGTGACAATGTGCCTGGGAGAGCGCACGCTAGCTCAAAACCTTTAGAAAACACTGTCAATACCGCGCAAAATTTCAGCAACTGGTCTGAGACCTAGGCGAAACGCGTATTTTCAGCCTTCCTGTGCCCAGTCTGGAGGTGCAATGTCAATTACAACAATTAACAGCTGTTCGTCTGCTTACTATCAATGTGTAACACCAATGACGAGTAGGTTGATCTTTCTCTGCGTGCAATGAATGTAGCATCACGAGCGAATATCATACTATATATATACAGCAAGATGAACATGTATGCCAGTGATATTGCTTTAGTCCTCTTGCTTCTGGTTTTTCATGATGTATTTTTACGTGGCCACTTTGTAAAAAACATCTCTCAGGAGCACCGGTATTGTTAATAAACAGGCTTCCCCCCTCCCCCCTCACTTTGACCTTGAATAAAGTTCATTCCAGGTTCTAAGAAAGGAGTTTAAGAAGTAAATGAAATGAATCTTTACTTAGGACAATTTCCTGCAATTGAGATCAAAGAGACTTCTAAGAACAGAATTTAATAAGGAAAGGCAAAGAAGTTTTTTATTGACGCAGAAAGGAAATTCTAAGAAACGAGTTTAATAAGGAAATCAAATGAATCTTTACATAGAACGGAAAGGGAATTCTAAGAAAGGAGTTGCGTAAGTGAAATGAATATTTTTCTGAGAGCAGAGAGGGAATTTTCAGACAGGAGATTAATAAGGAAATGAAATGAATATTTACTTAGATACTTAGAACAGGCAACAAACATGTTTAGCTTTATTTGGGGCGCGCTTTATTTAGGGTATGGTGGCTTCAAGAAAGGAGTTTAAACAGGGAAATGGATCTTTACTTAGAACAGAAAGGGAGTTCTAAGAAAGGAACTCAAGTGAAATGAGTTTTTACTTAGAACAGAAAGAGAATTCTAAGAAAGGAGTTGAATAGGAAATGAAATGAACCTTTACTCAGATTCTTAGAACAGGCAACACACATGTTTAGCTTTATTTAGGGTGCACTATATTTAGGGTATGGTGGCTTCATGAGGGGTAATTAAGGGTTTTATCAAGAATTTTTTCTACGCAGGACTTGCGTTTAGCGATACTGTCGGAAGCACAGTGGCGCCAGTACTCGGCAAAAGCCGTTGCGCAAACCGTGAGATCTATGCGTCTGTGTCAGACATGCAATATATTACAAAGAGGGTGCAACTTACCACGAATGTCTGCTGCGCGACCAAGTTTAAGAGAAAACCAGAAAACCAAAAAACCAAAAACAAAACCAAAAAGACAAAACCCAAAACCAAAAACCCAAAAAACATAACAACTAAAAAACCAATGTTTGAGACAAAATGGAGACAACCCCCCCCGCCCCCCAAAAAAGCCCAACTGTTATAGAACTCCCGTTTTGTCTCAAACATTGGTGTTTGGTCTTTATGTTACTTTTGTTTTTGTTTTTTTGGTTTTGTAGTATTTCCTCAAAACTGTTATAGGCCTGGCCCTCACAAAATTGATCTAACAATAGTTGAAAACCTAGGTTGTGGTGATGTTTTAGCGAAACATCATTGTAAAACATAGTGTTTTTGATCACCTCTTGCGCAAAAAACATCTCCCAGGAGCACCCGTTCTGATCAAAATTAGGCATCAGGTTCAAGATTGGCTTTCAATCAAGCGGTCACGACGTGTAAGCTGCCTCGGGGCAGGGAAGGAAAAGGAGAAGAAGGAGAGGGGAGGAGGAGGAGGAGGGACCAGATGAGGGTCCACCTGGTCTACGATTACACGCGCATATCAGGATGCTGACGTTAGAAGGAGAAGAAGATGAGAAAAGAGAAGACGCGAGAGGATCAAGGGATCCAGATCCAGCACAAGGCCCAGGTGGAGGCCCAGTTCTTCAAAGAAAAAGCCGAGAACGGGACTTACTTGTCTGGGCATCGAGGAGAAGAAAGTAGAAAAGAACACATCGCCCATTACAGAAGCTTAGAAGGAGCATCTGTGGGACTATGAAGGTTTGGGCTTGAAGGCATATTTCAATTGGCTTCGTGAAGGCTTTGGCGCTGAGGTCTACATCCTGGAGAAACTGAGAGCTTTCAGAAGGAGACAATCCAGATGATGACGCAGTCGACGATGCAATTGAAACGTTCATGCAGTATTTCAGAGATGCGCAGCAAGGAGGCCCTATAGTCAGAAAGAGGGCGATCAACTACGTGTTTTCGACGAGTCGACGAGATAATGAATCTACCACATCAAAGCTGGTCACGATGTTCAAGACTGTCCACGCGAAGAATCCAGGTGGCCAGACGGTTGGATCAGCGTGAATTGTGGATTACGGCGTTCAGGCAGAGGCGAGATTGAGTTTGAAAGAGAAGGCCATATAGGAGATCATCAAGTGACGCAACAAACTCAACTGAGGAGTATGAAATAGAGAGTGACAGACCACAGAGAGAGAGATCGAAAAGGAGCAAAAGAGTAGCTTCAGAAGAGAAGGGGCCTTACACGTAAGGCCATGGAAAGACAACGGCTGAGAGTGGACAGAATGGCAAAAAACCTATGTGAGAAAGGAGGCAAGACGACTACCAAGAGTTGAACGGTGCTTTAAAACAACGGGGAATTCAATCTAGGGAGGCTCAAGTAAGTCCACGTCACCGAAGAGGTCCGTTCTAGTTGGAGCGAAAAGGCAGGCAGGGTGACAGACATTCACCATGGACTGCCACGCTCACTTTATTTTACAGAATAGCTGAAGATCCTTTGCAGGAAAACGGTGGCGTGCTTCCGTGTGCTTTCACATTTGTGCCCAGTGATTTTGCCTCGCCACTGTTTCTATTCGGTCTCTACAAGTGTCACATACTCAGTGAAGGGAACCGTGTAGCCAAGACCCAAGGCCCTGCAATACCATGTCCTGCGACGAAGCTTGCTTGAATGGCGCTAGCCCAAAGCAGTGCGTTGAACAAGCTTTGCTCAGTCAAGTCAGCCATGGCCATGACTGTGACTGTGACACCTACTTGAAGGCGAATGGGCCAGCTGGAGCCCTTGGACCACATGTGGCTGCCTTACTTGTTTCACATTTACATGGCCACCGCGCCTGCTTTTTGCGTGCAGCTGCTTTCTACCTATAGCGGCCCTTTTCTTAATGTTCTTCAAGCTGGCCGTTGGGAGCCATGCAGACATATAGGTTGCGTTGAACAGTTGCAAACCGTTACTGCGCACGCGTGCAATTGTGATTTGTCGGGCGAACTTAAGGCGCCTGCGCAGTCAGCTGTTCGATTGTGCTTGCTGGCTTAACAAAAGAACTGGACACTACGGCAGAGCTTGGTGCTCAAAATTACGGTCCCCGCAAGCTCCAGGTGATCTCAAGGGCAAATATGTTTGTGCATTTAGCAAAGGTTTTCCCGGTATTATGGCGATGGGCATCCCTTCTTGTGGTTCCAACAAAATTGACGCGGAACTTTTTGCGTTGACAACGAAAGGCGCAGTCCCCGTTCCGACAGTCTGCTTCAGCTCTGCTTTGTTTTTGGCTTTGCTGTAACCGTAACTGGCCACGCAAAACTATACAACGAGTGCCACGCGATTCCACAAGAGGACACGCAGGGTGAACATATTTTTGTTCTCGGCAATACGTAGTTTGCGTTGCAGTTGCGTTCCATGCAGTTGCATTGCAGTGTGCGTAGTTTGCGCTCCAGACGCATCAAACTGCAGGTTCCGCGACTTGTGACGTAGCCTACAAATCGCGAAGGAGAGATGTGGCTGCCTTGGCCTAAGATTTTGGAGGTGTTTGGGTACCTCATTTTTTTGCAGTTATTTGTTTTTGTTGCATTTATACTGTAGTTAGCTTTAGTATAGTTTCCATCATGTTTCCTATGTGTATGTGTACTTACATACATATATATATAATCATACATGTTTCTTTTTGCCGGGGTCCAGTAGCACTGCAATGGCTGTATGAGCAGGTTGCCGCTCGAAGGAGGTGGTGTTGGGTTGCATGGAAGTAATGAAAAGTGATGGCGATAGAGTAACTGGAGGAGAGTGAAGAAGCAAACAAGATTAAGTATAGACGAGTTGTAAACAAAACATAGGTAAAGGCAAAGGCTTGAAGGGATATCATGAAATCAATAAATCTATTTCTTGGCAAATTCCTAATTTGTTCACTGGGAGAATCACAAACGAAATGGAATGAAAAGGGTTCCATACTTCAAAAGGACTTTGGAAGGGATCGATCAAAGGACATCAAGAAGGGCAATCAAACTGCTCCTGAGCAACCAGAGGAATTGAATCGAAACAAAGGGAAATCAAACGAAGGTTTTTACATACTGTAGCAAATGAACATGAATTCAAAAGAAGCAAAGAAAATCAACCAAGAGTAATTCAATAGAAGTCAGCAGGAAGCAAAAGGAGGAAACAATGGAAACTCAATCTCTTAACAAATCAAGCGAGGAGAAATCGAAAGGAGTCGAAGCAGATTTCAAAAGGATTTTGTTTTTCTTGACGGGGCAGGCTTGCAAAATTGTTTGTTTCCTCTTTTGAGGCTAAAGGGGCCAGCTGGGTTGACATTATATAGTCCGTAACTTGGAAGTTGCAATCGTGAGGATTCATTTGACCATGACACTCGTTTCGCTTTTTGACCTGTGTTTTCTTCTTGCTCCTTGGTTCAAGACACCAGGGAAGGGCATCGAACGTTCGCCATGTGAAAGAGGTGTCATTGCGCCATAGTGTCGACCCAGGGATTTGATTTCAGGCTCCTGCTACGTACGTGAGGGCTTGTTATCGCATTGGTAGCGACAAGGGATCGATCTTGGCGCACCGTGCATAGCAAGATGTCTGCAGACTTTGTCTTCGATGATGATCTCCCCATGGACGAAGGCGCAGACGAGGACGCAGCCGAAGGCGCTCCAGGGGACGAGGACGAGAATGAATCGTTGTTTGATTTTGACTTTGAGTTTCCCCATGTCGATGAGGAACCCCATGTTGATGATGCAGAAGCTCCTAGAGTATCAACACCGCCTGCAAGTGACCCTTCCTTTGCCCCTTCGAGACGAAGCCGAGGCAGCCGGGGTCGTGGCTCTCAAAAGAAAGCCAGTTGACCAGTGAGAACACCAAGGATTCCTCCAAGCGCTGGCGAAGTGGTCAAGTGCCTCAAGCACCAACGTTTTCTGGAGACACGGAGGCTGATCCGTACTGCTTTAGACGCTACAAGAAACGCCTCCTCCGCTGGATTCGAATTACGAAGGAATTTTTGCCACCCAACGAACGCCTCCGGCGAGGCCGAGGTGGAATTTGAAGAAGTGTCGGATGACCGTTTTGATTGCAGCGAAGGAGTCACCAGGCTCCTTTCCGACCTTGATGTGTCGTGCAAGTCATCCAGTTCATGAGTGTGTGGGAGTGTGATCTCTTCGAGATCTGCTAGGTGCCTTGGCACCCAAGTTTTGCACTTGGTATGGTATTGTGCTGTGCTTGGGATTCGTTTCATGGCTGCTATTTGCTCAAGTTCATCGAACCAGCTGGCTACCAGTTGAGGTTCGTTGACGACTTCATGTGTGAGACATCTGACGCAGCAGGTGCGTTGCGCTGCATCCGTTGTGGTGTCTGTGCTTCCGCAGCTGCGGCAGTATGTCGCAAGTGCCATGGCGGTTGTTCGGGGATTGGAAGTTTACAGTGGCTAGCAGGCACCACCAGAGGCGACCTGTCGGCAGACGTGTCTTTGCTTCAGAAGCCCCCTTCTGATCTCTCAGCGGATGACCTTCGAGAAGTGAACAAGGTCAGTAAATACGCTCGTGCTACCTCCAGTGCCTTTTTCAAGGTGATCCCGCATGACATCAATGAGATGCTGTTCATCGCCTACGGCGATTCAGGGTGGGCAAATGCGCCCCGATGTAAGAGCCAGGGCGGCTACGTCGTGGTCGCGACCAACAAGAAGGTGTTGGAATCTGAGCAGCCGGCATCGTTGTTAGACTGGAAGTCGTACAGACGCCAGCGAATACTTCGCTCCACCCTCGCTGCGAAAGCAGCCTCCTTGGATCGTGCCCACAACGCCGGACAGTTCATGGCATGTGTTTTTAGTGAAATGACCGATCCAAGCTTTCGAGCGACTTGCGGCAGTCCCTTGAAGTGATTCCAGTCACAGACGCAAGAAGTTTGTGGGACTCAATTCACCGCCTCAGCACATCATTTGCTGAGAAACGCGTCGAAATTGACGTGGCAGGGCTCCATCAAACATGTCGAAATTTAAGATGGGTGCCGACTGAGAAGCAGGTGGCCGACGCGTTGACCAAACGCTGTGCCAAGCTCAGGGATTCGTTCCGAAGATGGGCTGAGAGCCCTGTACACTGACCGACTCCAAGTCCGCCGAGGACGGTGCGGACAACGCAGGTTGGCGAGAGTGTCAGGTCAACAAAGATAAAGACCAGTGCAATCGTGAGGATTCATTTGACCATGGCACTCGTTTCGCTTTTTGACCTGTGTTTTCTTCTTGCTCCTTGGTTCAAGACACCAGGGAAGGGCATCGAACGTTCGCCATGTGAAAGAGGTGTCATTGCGCCATAGTGTCGATCAGATCCAGGGATTTGATTTCAGGCTCCTGCTACGTACGTGAGGGCTTGTTTCGCAGAAGTTTGAAGTTTCTTCCCTAAACATTTGGGCCTTCAACAGCAAAGAAACACCTAGGTTTTGTTTGGCTGGCTGTCTCCCTTCTGCCCATTCGCAAGTTGTGGAATAGACGTCAGTGGCTGTCAAACAATGCAAAGATAAGCCTCCAAAGGCAACATGTCGCTGACAGCAAACAGCATGTATTTGTTCGAGCCGTTCGAGCTTGATGTGCGCTCTCCGAAACTATCCGAACCGAAATGGGAAAGGCTCATACAGGGTGACTGTGATCAACATCTGGGACATTCGATGGCATCATATTTGCACCTCGTTATCCAGATCAATTTGGGCTGGAGGTGCTACCCCCTCCTCGCGATAATTACTTTGAGACGGTTGCGCGATGTCGAGACAAATCTATATATACATGTGGGGACTTTGAACAGTACGTGATCGCTGGTCGCTGAGCCAGAGTTGCTGAAATACAGCATCCTCCGGTTTTTTTTTTCAGCAGCCTGAGTGTGCTGGAAGCAGCTGCTCGTGTCGCTTGAGTTGCGGGCCCTGACAATCGTTCCCCATGCACAAAGAATCCAAAGAAAAGCCTGACTGGCGTTTGCTGAATGCTCATTTTGCGATGCTTAGTAGGGGGCTGTTTGCCGTCACAAGGCCAGACTTCAAAAACCCTGATTGAGCGACAGGAGCATGCCCAAGTCGAAATCCCTGAAACGCCCTTTGAACATGGCCATGCCCAACTTCAGGTGAATCTTGACAGCGGAGATTGCAAACTGCAACAACAAACCAGAATGTAGGGTAGAGATGGGTAGAGCATTTGAAGCGTAAAGAACGCCTCTCAACCTTTCAACCTCCCTTTTCAATATCGCCCGGAAAACAGTGAAGCGAGATGTGAGTCACTTGGTTTTTTCCCAGACAGTATGCATCAATATACAATGTTTCTTCACTTCATAGTGAATCGCAAGTGGGCTTTCGATGCCTTGTCGTGCTGGAGGTTCAGCCAAGCCGCTGCGGCAAACCTGCAGTTGGCCTCCGAGAGGATTACAAGGTGTGGAACTTCCAAAGGGGAGTGGGATTGTGTTTGGGGAATTGTAAGGTATTTGAGATGCTTGCAACAGTTCCAAACTCCAAACCATCAAAAATACTCAGGATGTGCCGGATGCAGACATATTGGATGCACATAGATGCACATCAAGCTGCGTGTCGAAGCCATACCGTTAAGAGTTGGTCGTGCACATTCGAATATATTTCTTAAATCATTAAACACGCCATGACCTGACAACCCAATCTACCAGGCCGGCTGTGTGGCTGAATACTTTCTTTTTTCAGTGCGAAATTGAAACATATTACAACACGAGCGTATGCTTGTCGAAGGTCTGTGCGAATCTGCAGCCTTGCAACCTCAATCAAGATTGCCAGCTGGGGGCATGGAATGTGTGGTGCGCCATTTGTTTGCTCGTTTTTCTCAAATAATTGCTGAACAGGTTGACCCTTTTTGGCATGCTTGGCAGGTCAGAGTGCAGCTGCAGCTGTTTCGGCATTCGTGAGAGAAACAGAGTTATTGAACGGTTTGCGTCTGGTGACGGATTGCCTTGCTCTCAGTGGCAACATGTGGCCTCTCTTGCTTTGTTCAATTTTTCTGGAGCTCTTGTTTTTGGATGGCAATGAAAGATATGAAATGAAAAGTGCTCGTGGCAGGTCATGCAATGGCACGGTGAAGGAGATCGTGCCTTGCAACCCAGGTCTTGGGGAGGTACCACGACGCGTTCAACTCATGGTTTGTGGGGAGATTACTTGTGCATACTTGTACTGTGACAAAAACCCAGATGGCCAGGATCGAGATCCACACTGTGGCAACTCAAAGCGAGTGCAAAATTGCGCACTTGGTCTCAATATGCTTGAACTACATTCAATGGCATCATAGCTGCTATGTCAACACCATCGCCAAGATCTTCATTCTTTGCCAAAAACTGTTGCTTTTCTAAGGTGATAGCAGAGTGGGATGATTGGACAGTCTGCAGTGTGATTCTGGCAACTTTCCCACGCGGATTAAAATTCCATAAAATTCCATACGACTTGGCCCGAAAGCACAGTAGGAGTAAGATAGGATCAATCCTGGGTATCTATAGACACTGTGGTAGAAGTACTTCTACACGCTGTCGTGATTATGATGATGATGATGGTGATGAGGAGGAGGAGGAGGACGACGACGACCACCACCACGACGACGACGACGACGACCACGACCACGACCACGACGATGCACGACCACGATGCACGATGCACGATGCACGACCACGACCACGATGCACGATGCACGATGCGCGATGACGACCACGACCACGACCACGACGACGACGACGCCGGCGACGACGACGACGACGAGGAGGACGAGGACGAGGACGAGGACGAGGACGAGGACGAGGACGAGGA